CTCTACACACCTGGTCCCTGTCTGTGCTGACCTCCCAGCCTCATGCATTAGCTCACCAATGGCCTGAAGATAACAGGCCTGAGCCTCACTGGGGTTTATTGCTAAAAGGTTGCTTAAAATCACAAGTGACAAATTCCTTGAATAATCTCCTAGCATCTTAGAATGATTGGACATGAGGATGAATTCCTAGCAGTAATCTGGACTCTGAGGAAGGGTCACAGGTAACTAGTGCCAAGTCAGATTGGGTAACCTCTGATTTATGCCATGGGAAAACTTCAAACAAGACCCACTCATTAACAACTTTTGCAATGTTGAACCAGGGGGAGACAGAATTCACCAGCAGCTAAGGAGAGAACTCTTAGGCTCTGGCAATAAAGCAAAGCACCAACAGGGTGCAGCTGGATTGGAACCATGGACCTCTTGATTTGCAGTCAGATGCTGTACCCCTGAACTATAACCCCTTGACCTATGCAAGCTAGCAGTGGCACAGTTACCCCTACAGGAGTACTTTTTCTGTGAGGCCAGGGCCATCTTGTGCTAGGCTGTGGTTTTCAGAAAGGCATTGTAAGTTTCTTGTGTGGTTTCCAGCGTGTGAGCCCTGCCTTGAGCACCTCCTAATCCCATTCTGTTGGGGTTTGGCATCACTGACTCCACTTTGATTCTGACCACTTTTGCAACATCAACCTGTCGGGCTAGTTGGCCTTGGCTGACAGTGAGTTGGCCTCACATGGGGCCATGTGTTTGTTCTGGGACCGGGTGGACAAAGCAGCGGCCTCCAGGACAGAAATATTTCCTGTAAGTTCCAAGGCATGTCTCCCCAGGTGCCGGTTACCATCTGCCAGCCCAGTTCTAAATGCTGACAGTTGACAGCAGAAGACGCGGTGCGTGATGATGCAGGAGAGAGGGGTCTTCCCCTCCCCGACCACCCAGGTTCTTAGCTCATCTGTGCCCTAGGGGTTGTTCCCTGTTTGCTTGGTGGCGCCTGTGACTGAGCTGCCAGGCGCGAGCCAGTGACTACACTGCCACCACATCTTCCCCAGTGAGAGCTCCCCTTTTAATTTGTCTTTCTTTGGATGGCTTCCCACTAAGGGAGCTTTCTAGTCACTCTCCCTTCACTGCACAGCAATTCTATTAAACTTCTTTTTTTTTAAGATTTATTTTTATTATTTTTTTTTATTGGAAAGGCGGATATACAGAGAGGAGAGACAGGGAGGAAGATCTTCCGTCCGATGATTCACTCCCCAAGTGAGCACAATGGCTGATGCTATGCCGATCCGAAGCCAGGGGCCTCTTCCGGGTCTCCCACGCGGGTGCAGGGTCCCAAAGCTCTGGGCCGTCCTCGACTGCCTCGACCGGGCCACAGGCAGGGAGCTGGATGGGCAGCGGGGCTGCCGGGATAGAACCGGCGCCCATATGGGATCCCGGGTGTGCAAGGTGAGGACCTTAACCACTGCGCCACCACGCTGGGCCCTATTTTCATTCTTCTTGAAAGGAAGAGAGAGCGAGAGAGAGAGAGAGCTCTTCCATCTGCTAGTTCACTTGGCCACCAGCCAAATGCCTGCAACAGCTGGGGCAGCCCAAAGCCAGGAGCCTGGATCTCCATCTGGGCCTCCTGGGTGTTAGAGACCTAAGTGCTTGAGCCACCAGCTGCTTGTCTCCCAGCGTGCACACTGGCAGGAAGTGGATGGAAGTGAAGGAGACTAGACTTGACCTAAGCACCCCAATATGTGATGTGGGTATCTCAAGCAGTGCCTTAACTGCTATGCCAAACACCCACACTGAAATGCGTTATCTTCATGCGAGATTTGAGGACATCTTTCTTAGTAACCAGTCAGTTTATGACATAGCAGGCAAAAATAACATGATCAAACAACTTGAGGCTTAGATCAGCATTGGAATATGCTCACACTTTTGAAGCAAACAGAACATTACAAAAAAGTATTTATTGCATTGCATACATCACCCAAAGTAAGTCTCAGAAAATTCTAAAAAAAAAAAAGTCATAATATATTCTCCACAAGGCAAAGTCAAAACCAAAAACTCATTTTGATATTATAAGTGCTTTTAAATAGCATCATCTATTGAAAATTAAATCATAATAAAATCAGAAAGCATTTAAAAATTTCAGCCATTTTCTCATAGAAGAATGGGCCATTTACTTTTGAAGGAAGTTAGCTGATTCATCCACTAAAACTGGATGGCTAGTTTACCAAAATCCAAACCTGTGAGTATCAATTTATAGAACAACCAATTTGAATTATTTTTTTAAGCATGAACCATTTCCACCCTGACTTCATCCGGGTCCAGAACGCGAACATTGTCAGAAACAAAACGAGGTCACTTGTGTCAAGCTCTTAACAAAATGGACCCAGGAGGCCACAAAACAGGGATGAAGAGAAGTGTCCTCACACACACTTGCTGGACAACAAAATTCCAAAAGGTTCTCCCGAAACCACAGCCTAGCAGGCGCACGCGCGCGCACACACACTCACTGCCTGTTCAACCTTGGACAGCCACCATTCTTACTGACTCTACTGGCCAATGATATTTGGGTCCAATCAGCATCTACACCTTGCTCCTCCCATCCCCCGAGGCTTTTGTCTCCTTGTGCCTCTCTGGATATCCCCTGTGGTCCACCGTGACACACAAATCCCAACCTGTGTCACCCCAGTCTTTGGAGAACTGGTCTCTCTGGTGCTTAGGTCAGACTGCTCGGTCTCCACATAAACCCTTTCGGGCCAGTTCTACAACTCAGACACAGGGAATGGGGTAGATGCAGGTGGTTTAAGCAAGGGGGCTGGGAAGGGGGTGAGCAGAACAGGGACAGAGAATCCCTTGAGCTGGTATTTTAGAGGCTGTTCCAAAATCTTGAAGCATTGTACTCGGAAGGAGTTAGACCACCACACACAAGAAGAGCTGCAAGAACCTAGCGTTGAGTCAGGTACTGCCACCCACCCTGTTTTTGTTTTGTTTTGTTTTGAACATTCAAGGTATGACAGTTTATGCTGCTTGAGCAGCTGGGCCCATTGGCTCCCTCTCCACTGTTTTACAGGCAGAACCCTCCTCCTGCTTTCCTCAACCTGCACAGTGTCCTAATCCTGGCTGTTAAAGCTCTAAACACCGTTTGCCAAGGAGGTAGTTTCTACAGGAGATGATGCCATCCCAGCATCTACCTACTACAATAAAGATTCCCTCAGAGCTACTCCCATTTTGAGGCTGTGTCTAGGATCTTGAAGGAGGGGGGCAGTGCCCACTTCCTGCATCCCATCTCACAGTTCACTCTTTGTGCCTGCCAGATGTGTTGGCTGTGCAAAGCAAGATCACGGGTGTTGGCAAGACAACCCAGGTGAAGGGAGTTTCCTTTCTGCTTCTCTTCCCAGACCTAGGGAAGAGGAGGCTGTGGCTGGGCTCCCAGAATAGGACAAGATAGTCATTTCAATACTAATTCAAAATATCTCTTAATCGGCCCAGACATTTGGGTCCTCCTATGCCCCCTTCCTATATTCATGACTGTGAGAAAAGAAAGATAAAAAACCTTTAAAAACCCAAGCCATTTCCCTAAAGCCAAGGTCTGGTTGGACACTCCACTTCGCTTACTTGTTTATGGAGCAGTGCTTCCCCATTGCTTAGCTTTGAATAACGTTTCTGTTAAGCTTGTGCTGAGGGCAGAACCCAATGAGCTTGGCCAGCAACACTTTTGAGGCTGATGTCTGGGTACCACCCCAGACATAGAAGCTGACCCCTGGGTCCACCCTCACAGGTCCAGGCTCACAGAGGCAAGGCAGGAAGAAGTGCCCATTCAACCATCTATGCCACCTGCTTTTAGTGACTGATAACTCGGAATCTGCAAATGGGGCACAGTGTGTGCGGGGGGGGGGGGGACAGGATGTGGACATGAAAATCAAGAACTGTATTCCTGAGGTTTTAAGTTGAAGAGTTTTAAGTTGAAGAGATTGGAGAGCTGGGCTGGCACCGAACTTACCATGAGGTGATGAGCTGAAGTTCGCCTTCCATCTTCAAATCTAGGTTCAAGATGTCAGATGGACTGATCCTAGCTCAAATGATCAGCAGGATTTTATCTTCATAGAACTCCTGCTTCCAAATCCCCTCCCCTTCCATCTGGAAGAAGAGGCTGAGCCCAGGGGACCCCCGCCTCTCTGAGCATTCTAATAAGGGAACCTCCTGGACAGGCAAATGAGGCCTCCCACATGCCAGCAACGACTGTGGTTGCCATAATCAACAAAACAGGCTAACAGTCACTCAAAATACAGTAACATAGATCAGTGTTATAACAACGTGTAATAACACAGGTCAACGGCTATTATAAACAAAATAATACAACACAGGATTAACAACGCAAGGCAGTGTGCTCTAGCAATATAACAGCAAGCAGGTTACCATTGCAGTGAGCAAGGGCGTGGAGTGGAAGATCTGAGGATGTGGGTGCCTGGGGTGTCACAGCCACTTTGCCCATCCATGCAGTCAGGGTCACAACCCCCGCCCCCTGCCCATGCCAGGTCCGTCTGTGCAAGAAATCAGCCCGCTTTCAGCCGAGCATTCCCACCTGGCACCTGTGCAGGACGCCCTCAGTAACTGAATGGGTGGATGGCCGATGCAGACTGGCGAGCTTGCACACCCGCAAGCAGCACCGCCTGGGTGGCAGCACGGGTGTCCCTGCGTGGAGGGTCCAGGTCCGCTAGTGGACAGGGGGCGGAGACGGGGTGTCAGCCTGCCCCGCCCTAGCCCCGCCTCCAACCCAGCTGGCGCCGCGGTCGCGCCTGCGCAGTCCCAGCTGCCGAAGCCCCGGGTTCTGGGCGGAAGCCGGACCACCCCTCCCGGGATGCGAAGCGCTAGGGGCGGGCTCGGCTTGGTTCGGGGCGGGCCCAGCTGCGTCCGCCCTGTCCCTCCCTGGCGGCCGGAGCTCCCCGACCCGCCTCCTCCCGCGCCGAGCAGCGGGGCCTCGGTCGCCGGGTGTCCCCGCACAGCCTGCGACCAAGGAGCGGGCGCTGGCGTCTGGGCCCGCGCCGGAAACTGTGTCAGCCGAGGAGTGGCCAGGAGCCGGAGTCTCGCCATGGCGCGCCAGGTAAGGCGAGCCACGGCGGACGCGTGGACGGAGGGACGCTTGGGCCCGTCTGCTCGGTGCAGTGCGGCCCCGAGGGACGGCGGGGGCGGGAAGGAGCCGGGACCCACCAACTCTAGGATCAGCTGTACCGGGCCTGGCCGGGCTGAGGCTCAGGGTCCTCGGGCTGCCCCCTCCCCCACTGTCCACCGCCCCACTCCCTTCCCAAGACACGCAGACCTCCATCCACCCTCCACCCCACCCCCCAGAAGCTCATTCTCCGCGTTAAGCATTGCCCCCCCTCTCCGCGTGTCCTCCTCCTTAGAAGTTACCCAAAGTGCGGTGCGAGAGGCCTGGGGGAATGGGTCCATTTCATACTTTTATTCTTGGTAGGAACCTGGATCCGGGGGGCACCGACATGGAAGTGGGGAGAAATAGAAGATAAACCAGGTCCCAGGTTTGGTCCTGGTGAGGTGTGTACATCCGACTGCTGGAGGGAGAGCCCCACCTGCTCTGTAGCCTGGGCAGAGTTGGCACCGGGTTGTGTGGGAGCTGCCAAGATGGCAAGGAAGCTGGAGGTGGTCTGCACCTGGAGCTGCTGGGTGTTCTGGGTGGGCACCTGGAGCCAGTTCTGCCACTGTGGTGTGTGTGAGCCTGAGTTTTGGCCCACCTCAGGCAGCTGTACATGCTGTGGTGGGCAGGCAGTATGTGGCCGGGCAGAGCAGGCACAGAATCTTGGCCAGTGGGTAGCCCGCAAGCATCCCGAGAGAACAGAGAAACAAGGAAAGTTGGGTGTTGCTGGGTGTCGCCCTTGCAGCTCCAGTGGTACGGGGATACACTGGCTCCAGATACCCACTGATACCATCCCAGGACCACCTTATACCTTGGCTTACTGTCCTGTAAGCCCAGGGGGCTGGACCCCCTGGTCTGTCAGGTGTAACCTTCAAAGATGGAGCTTCCTGGAGGAAGTGGCCAGGGGTGGCCACCACAGTGCGGTATAGAGGACCTGCTTTGCATGTGACTCCTGGACTGTGGGTGGGCGAGTAGGGCTCACAGGAAAGGGCAGCATGGTCTGCTGGTGCGGGTGTGGCTTGAGGCTCAGAAGGACTGGGATCTGTGGACAGGCTTGTGGTCCCTGAAGCTACAGTTTCCATGGAGAGCTTGGTAATACACTTGATAAAAATTGGAGGACTCTCTTAGTAGCCCAGAGCTTGGAGGTTGTGGGGCTCCAACAGTCTTAGATCAGTCCAGAAAGCTTGTCTCCTGTTGCTTGGGGGAGTGAGGTCAAGGCTGAGGAGGATGGTGTGTGTGCATGGTGAGCTGGGGGGGGGAGGGGGATTGCCTCCTCTCAGCGTTGAACGTGGGCACGCTCACACTTCCTCCGTCCTTCACACATTCACTTTTCCTCCACGTGTCGTGGGGGGGGGGGGGCCACAGGAGCAGCAGCGTCTACTCCAGCCTGTCGCTGCCTGGTGGCATTGCTATCAGAACTTCGTCACAGAGAAGTTTGCTTGCAGGCTGAGATGGCGACAGGCCTGGAGAGGCCTGGAAAGCATCCCTTCCAGATGTCTAAAAAAGGTGGATATATTTAGCCTGGAGAGAAAGAGGCCCTGGGGGCCAGGAACTCAGAGAGTGTGTGTGTGTGTGTGTGTGTGTGTGTGTGTGTGTGTGTGTGTGTGTGTGTGTGTGTGTTGCTAGCTGGCTGCAGGAGTGCTAGGTTTAACTTTGTACACATCCCAGCATTGATTCCGTGTTAATTCATTTCTCGGTCATGACATCCCTGTGGGGTTGGTTGGTTGGTAGGACCCAGTACTGTAGACACAGTTGCTCAGATGCACAGGGATCAAGTTGTTTGGCTAAGGTCCCATAACTGATCCGAAGCCACACTGGGGATTCAGCTGCTTGGTTCAACCTTGAGTGTCCATCCAGAACGTCTTAACCCAGCAGGCAGCAGATGTCCTGGGCTCTTCCCCTTCTAAGCTGAGGCTGCAGCGCCGGCCTGGCTCAGCTCTGCTAACCCGCCTTGCTGGCCCGTGTCTTGGGTGGAATTCTTACAGGCAGAGTGCCGGATGTGGACTAGCACACACCTAGACTGTGGCTCTCAGGACCAAGCTCACCAAAGACATGGAGGTGAAATCAAAATCCTGTAGTTTGCATGCGTCCCCCAAACTCTGTATGTTGAAACCTGAAGTTGTCAGTGGTATTTGAGAGCTTGAACTTTGAAGGGGTGATTGGGTCCTGAGAGTTCTGCCCTCAAAATGGACTCAGGGGGCCTAATGCAAGGGCTCAGTTGGCTAAATCCTCACCTCGGAAGTTCTGGGATCCCATACACACACCGTTTCCTGTCCCGGCTGCTACAGTTCCCATCCAGCTCCCTGCTTGTGGTCTAGGAAAGCAGTCATGACAACCCAAAGCCTTGGGACCCTGCACCTGCATGGGAGACCCTGAGGAAGCTCCTGGCTTCAGCCGTTGCAGCTCTTTGGAGAGTGAACCAGAGAATGGGAGGTCATTCTCTCTGTCCTTCTCTCTGTAAATCTGATCTGCCTTTCCAGTCGAAATAAATCTTAAAAAAAAAAAAAAAGAGAGAGAGAAGAAAAGAAGAAGAATGGACCTGGCACGGTAGCCTAGCAGCTTAAGTCCTCGCCTTGCACGTGCCAGGATCCCATATGGGCACCAGTTTGTGTCTCAATGGTCCCACTTCCCATCCAGCTCTCTGTGGCCTGGGAAAGCAGTTTAAGACGGCTCAAAGCCTTGGGACCCTGCACCCATGTGGGAGACCTGGAGGAGGCTGCTGGCTTCGGATCAGCTCAGCTCTGGCTAGTGTGGCCACTTCGGGAGTGAATAAAAAAAAATGGCGATGGCGCAGTGTGTTCTTAAAGCTGAGTTTCCCTGGGACTTGCCTGGTGTGACTCAGTAAGTGATGTGCTGTGACACCTCAGGGCTAGTCAGAGTCCCCTCCGCAAACGGGGCCCTGGGCAAGCAGACCCCCGGCAGATGAGGCCCTCAGCCTTCTCAGTTACAGGTATTCTATTATAGCAACACAACTCCAACTGAGACTCGGAATAAGCCATTTCCTTAGTTTGCAGTGAAAAGTACATCTGACAGTAAGGCTGGAAATATGTGGTGATTGAGTCCAGCTTGACTACGTGTCTGGTTTGTTTTGTGCTGGGTGATTTGTAAAGAGCAGAGCCGGGAGGTTCCAGGGGCCAGAATGTCTTGCTGTGTCAGTCCTTGGTGGAAGATGGAGAAGTCAGACAGTATGCACAAGAGAGCAGAAGGGGGCTCAGCTGATCCTTTTATCAGAAAGCTACCCGATTGATAAGTGGCACTAATCCATTCAGGAAGGCTGAGGCCCCAGGACCTAATTGCCTCTTAAATGTTCCTCCCCTCCCCCCCAGCACCCTTGCCCTGGGAATTAAGTGTCCAGCACGTGAACTTTGGGGGACACATTTAAATCACAGCACCTATGGCAGAATCTATATGAGAGAGCATGGACAGTGTGTGGAGGAACCTACAGATGGCAGTGGGGAGCCGGGATGACCTAAAGCATCCATCACAGCTGAGGACGGGCACCGCTGAGAGTGACACAGGGCCCAGGGACTGTGGCTCTCATCGAGAGAATGGTGGCAGCCCTCCAGATGCCAGCCTCAGGCCTATCCTGCAGGTGGGCCTTTCTAGGGGAGCTGTCTCTCACCTCCCCTCCTACATCCCTGGCATGGTCCCTGGTGTCAGCTACAGGTGTCTGTCCAAGGCCAGGAAACAGAGCAGTTTGGAGTGTTCTGAATGGACATTCCCAACAGGGGAATAACTAGGCCTGGGCCAGAGCCTTGAAGGTTATCCCAGGAAGAGAGGTGCTGGGCTGGCCAGGGGCAGGCACATCAGCCTGCCTGTGGGCCTCTGGGTCTCAGGGCAGCAAGCAGGCAGGGTGCTGGGGGGAGAATCCAGCCTGGTGTGTGGATGGGCTCTGACCCCGTTAGAAGGAGAGCAGAGTGCAAGTGGTTGTGACTGCATGGTGCAGCTGTCACGGGGTGTCAGGCAGAGAGCATGACAATGAGTGGGTGACAAGGCTGCCACCTACTAGCAAGACAGTTTTTTAAATCAGTGACTTGAGTAGATGAAACAAAGCAGAAGATGAGCAATGCTTTCCTTTTCTTCAATAAATCTGTCTCACAAATAAGTGGATTAGCATTTGTTGCTAAGCTAGAAGGCCCTTTCCCGCAATTCACATTCTCTGCTTAACTCAAAATTTTGGCTATCATTTCAAATCCATGCCTGTCAGGTGCTGATCAATTTTTAGAGTCTGATGGTGGCTTTAAAGTTTACTGTATCATGTTTTAAAGGAATCTCAGGCAGAAATGTTGCTTTTTGTCTGCAGCAGGAGAAATCTGGCTTCCTACAGGTTTCCAGGGGTCACCCCAGGAAAGGCTTGCTTCTGAACACTTGTCTGAGTCAGGCACCAGCTTCGAGGGATGAGCAGTGAGCGGGGACTGGTGCAAGGGTGTGCGAGGTGGGAAAGGCAGGGCTGAGATCAGAGAGCCTTCCACGATGTCACCTCCCCTAGAGCTTAGGGCTCATGGGCCACAGGGCCTGAGAGGGCACTGCTGCTAGGAACCTGGTGACACTGGGGGGTCACGCCACTGGAGCTGACTGCAGCTGGCTCTGCAGGTGACTCTGTGAAGAGGTGGAGCTTCCAAGAGCAGGCAAGACCTGGTGAGAATGGACGCAGCCCAGCCAAGGCCTGTGAACCAGCCAGCCTGCAGCCAGGGGTCTGCAAGAGCTGTGGTCACAGGATTGGAGCCTGAAGAGGAAAGCTGTGAACACAGGCCAGAGGGTCAGGCCTGTGATGTGCTTGTTTGTGTTCTGCCTGTCTGTCCCAGTGAGGGGGTCTCTCTGACCTCAGCCTGCCAGGAGCTTCCAAGTCTCTCCTTCTCACCCCACCACGAGGGTGCCAGGTTCCAAGGACTTGAGCCATCGTCTGCTGCTTTCCCAGGCAGTAAGCAGGGAGCTGGATCTGAAGTGGAGCAGCCAGGGCACAAACTAGCACCATATGGGATGCAGCTGCCCCAGGGTGGAGGGTTAGTCTGATACACCAACATGCTAGCCCTCTGAACAGGCTTAGCCCCCCTTTTTTTAATATTTATTTTTATTGGAAAGGCAAATTTACAGAAAAAAAAAAAAAAGGAGAAACAGAAAGATCTTCTATCTTCTGGTTCACTCCCTCAAGTGGCTCCAACAGCCAGAGCTGAGCCAAAGCAAAGCCAGGAGCTTCTCCAGGTCTCCCATGTGGGTGCAGGGTCCCAAGGCTTTGGGCCATCTTCAGCTGCTTCCTCAGGGAAGCAGGAAGCAGGGAGCTGGATGGGAAGTAGAGTTGCCGGGATTGGAACCGGTGTCCATGTGGGATGCTAGCACATAGAGGATTTAGTCACTGAGCCATCATGCTGGGCCTCCCAAACAGGTTTTTATAGCTTCTCTCTCCAGATAATACTGGAAGAATAATATAAACTTGCTCTTTGCTTGATTCCCGATTATTGAATCTTCCATGTTTAGATATATAGTGTTTTTTTCTTTGTTATACAGGCTGAGCGTCCCTAATACCAAAATGTGAAATTTAAAATCCTTCAGAGTTTTCTGAGTGCCTCAGTGCTACAAGTAAAAAGCTTTACTCCTGACCTTGTATGCCAGGTCACAGTTAGAACACAGGTACAATCAAAATATCACATAAAATTGCTTTTAGGGCCTGGCACGATAGCCTAGCAGCTAAAGTCCTTGCCTCGCATGAGCCAAGATCCCATGTGGGTGCCAGTTCTAATCCTAGTGGCCCCACTTCCCATCTAGCTCCCTACTTGTGGCCTGGGAAAGCACTCAAGAAAAACCCAAAGCTTTGGGACCCTACACCTGTGTGAGGGACCCAGAGGAGGCTCTGGGCTCCTGGCTTCAGGTTAGCTCAACTCTAGCCATTTGCAGCCACTTGGGGAGTGAATCAACGGACAGAAGATTTCCTCTGTGTCTTTCCTCCTCTCTGTATATCTCTCCAAGAAAAATAATCTTAAAAAAAATTGCTTTAAGGTTGTGTCTTTAGGGTATGCACGAAATGTAAATGAGTTTCATGTTTTTAATTGGGTTCCCTCCCCCAGGTTTATCATGGTGTGTATACAAATACTTTAGAATGTAGAACATTCTTGGGGGTTGGCATAGTGGGTAGAGCCACTGCTTGCAATGCAAACATTTTGAATAGGTGCCAGTTCATGCCGTTTCAAATCCAGCTCCCTGCCAGTGGCCTGGGAAAGCAACAGAAGATGGCCCAGGTATTTGGGTGCCTGCACCCACATAGGAGACCCAAAGGAAGCTCCTGGCTCATGCTTCCTGGCTCAGTACTAGCCATTGTGACCATCTGGGGAGGGCACCGGGTGATGGGAGAGCTCGGTTTCTTACTCTCTTTTAAATAGATAAGTCTTTAAAAAATAACAAGAAAAGGAGCGCTTGTTGGGCCCATGTATTCCCAGTAAGAAACACTCAGCCTCACGTGAGTTTTATTGGTAAGGCTCTTTTCTCCCTCTGTGATGCGGCCTTGCTAGGATCCCAGGGCCTCAAAGGGATGTTTGCTTCCATTAACTCAGCTTTATCATGGTAAGTTGAGGGGTTGCTGGGGTTAACTTGTGTTAGGGCTCAGTAGCCCCAGGCATGTTATCAGAATATAATACCATAAACCTGGTGGTGTTTTTTTTTTTTTTTTGAAGACTTACTTATTTTTACTTGAAAGGCAGGTTTACAGAGAGAAGCTATCTGCTGATTCATCCCCCAAGTAGCTGCAACAGCCAGAGCTGAGCCAATCCAAAGGCAGGAGCCTCTTCCGGGTCTTCCACATGGGTGCAGGGTCCCAGTGCTTTGAGCCATCCTCGACTGCTTTCCCAGGCCAGGCAAGGAGCTGGATGGGAAGTAAAGCAGCTGCAATAGGAACTGGCATCCATATGGGATGCCAGCACTTGCAGATAGAGGATTAGCCTGGTTGAGCTATTTTGCTGGCCCCAACCTGGTGGTTTCAAGATAGTATCAGTTGACTGTCTCACATTCCTGGCAAACAGATGTCCAAAATCCAGGTGTGGCGGGGTCAGGGGCTCTGCTCATGGTGAAGGCTTGAGGGCAGGGTCCTTCTTGCACCTCTCTCCAGTCTCTGCACCTGCTTCTTCCCATGTGCCTGTCACTGTCTGTGTCTTTTCATAGAAAAGGCCCTGGCCACCTGGACAGAGGGGTCACACTGTTGACGAGTGTCACGTCATCCTAGCTTTATCTACCGTGGCCTGTATTCCAAATGAGGTTACATCCACACGACCAAGGCTTAGGAGTCCAGCTGTCTTCCTGGGATTCCCAAGTCAACGCCCCAGCACTGTCCCTGGGACATGTTCCCGCCGCTCCTTGTGTCAGGCCTCCAGCTGTGTTCACTGCTCTGCCACCCCTGCCCCCCAGTGTCTGCTGGGAGATGCAGCAGGCCACCAGGCTGAGGGACAGCTGGGCTGGGCCTCACCAACATGGGGCCAACCAACCCCCCTGGAGACTGTGCCCACAGGTGACCATCACCTTCAAGGACCTGGCCGTGCGGTTCTCCGAGGAGGAGTGGCGGCTCCTGGAGGAGGGACAGAGAGAATTCTACCGTGAGGTGATGCGTGAGAACTACGAGACCCTGGTCTCTGTGGGTAAGGACCTGCGGGCCCTCCCCCAGGATGGGAGACAGCAGCCAGGGGTGAGCAGGAGAGAGAGGGAGGCCTGAGCCCAGTCCCACAATCCTGAGCCCCTTCATAATGCAAGGATGTGCTGGGTCTTAGTTTTATCATCTGTGAGATGGGCAGTTCCAGAGCCTGTTGGAGAGCTCAGAGCTGGGTGGGGGGTCTTGCTGTGTCTTCCATGGCGGTGCTGTTTCTGTGGCCTCAGGAGGATTCTGTATGGTGGCCTCTGTGTTGGGGAACCATCAAGATGTGCATAGATGGGCCACTGCGTAGCTGTGGGGGTCAGAGGCCGTCTGTCCCTAGGGAGACTGTCCTCTCTCTTCTCAGGGACATCCGAGCTGCTTCCTCTCTCTGCTTTCCTGTCACCCATGGAGCCTGGAAGAGCTGTGCTGGGAAGGGAACGTGCTGCAAAAGGACAAGAGCTGCCTGCTGGGGGAGCCCCCCAGGGTAAGTCCTGTTGCACTGAGTCTCCCCTCAACGCCAGGGAAGACTCCTAGAACCTCAGCCTGCTAGGGCAGTGCACTCCCCACGGAGCATGCTCCTCCAGCCAAATCCTCCTGACATCCCCTCACTCCTCTGCCATCTGGACTGAGAGTTTCTGTGGGAAGCACTCACAAGAAACCTGGGGTGGCCCTGGCAAGCACCTCTGTCCCAGGCCCCCTGCCAGCTAACAGCTGCAGCGTTTTCTCAGTCAGCCCTGCAGAACCAGCCAGCAGCTCCCAAGTGTCCACAGGACCTGGACTGGCCAGGCCAGGAAGTTGGGCCTACTTGGAAAAGCTAGAGGCAAGGGCAGTGTGGCCTGAACCCATCAGAATCTGGTTGTGGAATCGAAGTTAGGGTTTATCCAGAGGCAGGGTTAGTGCATATGCCCAGGAGCAGTCCAAGCAGGCTGCCACATATGCTTCTGTTCATTACAAGCTTTGTGCATTTTTACAGGTTTAAACAAGGCAGCTTTATGTTATATATCAAAGATCAGAGGGGGCTGCAGCTGCTGGTAGTTCACTTGGGTATTGATGGGAGGATCGTCTGCCTTCCCATACGCCCACATTTCCTCTGTGCGAGAAGACAACAGGGGGGGTTGTTAATCACTGCTGGCCGTCCATTGTTCTTCCTGTAATTACCTTCCTTAAGACACCAAGCTACCTCCTTCAATCCTGTTGACGCCTTAACGTACAGCAGGTGTTTCTTGGGCCACAGAGATGGCTTCCTCTCTGTAGAATTGACTTGATTTCTTCACAAGAGAGACTGACCCAGCTGTTACAAGAGGAGGTGAGAGAAGGGATAGCTGAGCATAGATGAGCCCTGTCAGACACCCTCACCAGGGCAGAGCGCTGGCCTCAGAGCAAGCCCCTTGAATCTCGCTGGGCACTGGCTGCTGCCAGCGGCTACTAGGGCTGGGAGGAGGGCGTGAGGTGCAGGGGCTGGCAACCCTGCTGAGCAAACACAGGCTACCGAGCTCACCACTGTCTCCCCCTGCAGGAACACAGCCCCAGCATAGCCTGCACCTGAGCGCCCTGGTGCAGCTCGTGAAGGAGATCCCGGAGTTCTTATTCAGGGAAGCCAAGAGCACTGTGGACGGCCCTGAGAGCCGAGCAGCCGGCCTGGATGGGGACAGAGCGAGTCCTGAGGGTAAGTTAGCCGGGACGGCAGGGACAGTGTGCACATAGGGTTCTCCGCACTGCACATGTAGGTTCCCATCCACCGCCTGGGTCTGTAGTGTGCCTGCCTGATCCCTAGTTGCTCCCAGGCAGGTGCAGGGCGGCAGAGGGATCGAAAAGCAGCTCCTGCTGCCTGGCTGTGTGCCTGCTGCTTGAGCCCCTGGGGCACAGAGGCTGAGAGAGCGACTCTTACTTGCCAATCCAGCCACCCTCTGGTAGCTGTGCCCTAAGTGGTGCAGAGGGCAGTGTGTGTGAGTGCCTGCTTCACAGACGAAGAAAAAGAGAAGTCATTTATACTGCACACGGCTGCAGCCTGGGCTCCTGTCACCTCACCAGTTATTCCCTTCCCCTGAAGGTGCTTGTCCATGCTCCTGCCTGTCGCTCTGCCCCACTCATTGACGATAAATGAACAGGAAGTGGGGACAGAGGCACAGGTTGGTGGGAATATGGCTGTAGAACTGGTGCTTCAGAGTCTGGTGGCAGTAATGCACAGGGAGCTGACATCTGGGCGTTGGTAGTGGAACATGGCAAAGAAGCACATGCATTGCCAACACTTCCTGGCACATCTTACCAGTTTGGGTGTCTGCCTCTTCCAGTTACAGCTGTGACAATAGAAAACTGTCCTCTGCAAGGTCAGCTTAGCTGCCTTCCAGAAAGCCCCAGTGACCAACACAGCCTGGCCACCACGCCCACCAGCAGCTCATCGTCCAGTGGCCTCCCTGGAGACAAGGGGCGGGAAAGTCCCCTTCCCATTGGTGAGTCTGATCGAGCAGGGGACCAACATTTCCAGGGCCCTGGGAAGGAGAGCTTGGAGCTGTGGCATCTTCGTCTTCTCTAGGACTACATATCATCCGATACTGGATGGAGACAGGGTTATACAGGCTGCAGGTCAGGATACTCGGCCACTGGTCTGTGGCCCAGGGAGAGCAGAGATGGGGCCTGGTTCCCAGGCAGCCTTGCAGCCAGCCAGCCTGTCCCTGAGGTCTGTGCACCTGCCACTTGTCATTTTCTGACCTGCAGACTTTGGACAGGGAAGATACCTGTGTCCCTCTGGGCTGATTGCCAGGCCTCCTCAGCAAAACAACAGTAAGAGTAGATCCATCTTAGGGTCTTATTTAATGTGTGTGTGTGAATTTGATATTCATCAGCGTGTTTTTTATTTTTGAGTTCATCTGATGTAAAATTGACAATCTTGTGTGGTTTTTAGATGTCATTTGGCACATTCTCTGACCTTCCTGTGACTTGATTGGAGAGGTATGAGTGTGAGTGCTGTGGTTGCCAGCATCGCTTGCTGGACCAAATTCAAAGGCCGCGTCTGTCCCGACTGGACAGTGTTGGTGCTGACAGACAGAAACGGAGCTGGGAAGCCCCTTGGTGCCCTGGGCACAAGTCCTGCAGAAGCTGGCCCCAGCACAAGTCACAGTTGTCAAGACCCTGCAGAAATGCTAGGGGCTGGAGAGGCCTGCCCTCTAGGGGCACAGAGTCCAGAGCTAGACATATTTCTCTGTCTTTTCCTGCAGCAGAAGCTGTCAGTAAACCATGGTCTACAGGGAAGACAAGCCCAGGCTCTCCAGGTGGGGAGCCCAGCCCTCCTACCTGTAGCCCCAGCAGGAGGAAGAGCCACAGAGAGATCCTGAGGACAGGTGAGAGGCTGGGGTACCTGAGACCCAGTGGTAGGGGGAGGTATATTTAGCTGGTGCCACGAGGTCATGTTTCTCTCCTTGCTGGTCCTGGGACACCCTCAAAGCAGAATCTTAGCCTCCTTGAAACCCAAGACCGTTCTGTAGGTGTTCCAGCTGGCCTCCGTGACCATGACCCTGTGTGTGCTGCAGGAACCTCTCCTAGGAGCAGCCCCTTACAGGGCCTCATCGGTGCTCAGAAAGAGATCCCTGTGCCCAGTCCCCAGCATCCTGAGGTGGCACCCAAACCACTTCCCCCTCTGCCCGGCCTGGTGTCATCAAAGCTGCCCAGAGTGGAGCTGGGACCCGTCAGCCTGCCCTGGCCAGGTGAGTGCTGGGCTTTGGGTCTCCCTAGACCACAGTCTCTGTGGCCCCTGGCAGCCTGCATGGCCTTCTGTGGCTGCTCTGCTTCCTCTCAAACATCTTTCTCAAAGGCGGTGGCCAGGAGCATGTGTCTGAAGCCAGGTGGCTCTCTTGAGGTCAGAAAGAAAAACAAATGTGGCCCTGCTCCCCTTGACTTGTTTGCCCTTCCTAAAGTGATTCTAGACAGAGGAGTGTAAGCCTCGTTTCGTGCCACTGCATGCCGAGATGCCCACAATGGACTCCAGATCTGGGCAGAGGTGGGACCCGGGGATGCCTCAGTTCTTTCGCCTGGGAAGGGGGTAATTGTTTTCCCCCCTCAGGGTCATCATGAATTATCCCAGAATACTGTGCTCTGTGTGTGTGTGAGAGGCCTGGAACTCCCCAAATGTTAGTCCAATTAGGACCCCAGAAGCCATGTGCGAGTGCCAGCAGCCCAGGACCCTTTCCTTCTCTTGGCAATCAAGGCCATGCCCCACCTGGACATCGAGGGCACACGTGCATGCTGCCCTCCCTTTAGGTCCTGCAGCTTTGGAGGTGTGGCCAGGAAATTTTTACCTGGACACCAAGAAAACAGTGGCTCATACAAGTCTAAAGGAGCCCCAAGACCACTGCCATTGCTGGATTTCTGCCCTGAATCCCCCCAGCTGCCCAGAGGATTGGCCCCTGAGGTCAGATGGAAATGTTCTTTTTTTTCTTTAGTGAAGACAGAGGCAGTCTCAAGGGACTGTCCCCTCCAGGGCCTGCTGAATTGCCTGAAGGAGATCCCAGAGGCCCCGGGCAGGCGTCCCAGTCCCTCTGGAGCAGAGGAGCCCCTGCTGCATGAGGAGCCAGGAGCCTGGAGAAGGACTTGTGCAGGTAATGGTGAGCCCGTTGCCCAGCAGCAGTGGGCGGTCAGGAGGTTGGGGGGTGAAGCTGTGCAGATGGAATGAGGTGTGTGGGAAATGGTGAATCAGTACTTGACAGTTTTCCCAGGTGGCTATTAGCATAAGGAACTGAAACATCTGTGAGGAAGACAGGAATGGTGGTGGGGTGACAGGAGACCAGAGATAGGAGTTCTGGCCCAGGAGATGACTGTGATTTGGGTGCCCCCGTGTTTGTGTGGGTCCCATTTCTGTGTGTGTCAGCTTCTCGGAACAGTAGAGAGCAAGCTGGTTGACTCTGGTGCTTACTGGGATGGTCTCAGTTAAGGCTACAGACAACCCTCTGGAGGCACTCTGAGAAGCCTGGGGCAGCTGGGATGTGATCTGGCTCTTTCCTGGTGAGGCTGGGACCTGCGCTGGAGGAAGAGGGGCCTGGGAGGTCCTTTCCTAACCCTGGAAAGCTCCCACAGGACTCTGCAGCTGAGCCCAGACCTAAAACCTGGGCTGCCTGGTGGCTGTCTTCCCACAGGGCCTGGACGCCAGCAGACACCGCCTCTCCGCCCTGGCCCTGGCAGCATGCTCACTATGGTCAAGATGGAGGACAGTTGGGCCCAGAGTCCACTAGTGCCCACCACCTGCCAAGTTGGCAGGCAGACTTATAGCCCCTCCACCTCCAGAGACAACAAAGGGGTCCGAGGACCCGGCTGGGGCCCCATAGCTCAAGGTGAGTGCTGGGTCATCTGGCAGGACTCAGTCCCTGGCTGAGGTTATGCTAGCCCATAAGGAAGGGCACCTGCCTGCCCTCTCTCCCCAAGCATTGAGCCTGAGTGTCCCTCGCTCTGCAGTCTAGTTCCCTGTGCAGGCATCCCTCTGTTGTGAGGACTGTGGCCACCCTGCCATCAGACTGGGGACATCTTTGTTCCAAAGGAACAAAGAACAAATCTGCCATAGGAGGGCTCCCTGACTGGCAATTTCCCCAGAGCCTGGAGCATGCCTCATCACCGTGACAAAGGGCAGGCCATAGAGGCCCTAGGAGGCATGGCTGGGGCATGCAAGAGATGGTAACAGGGTGATCTTTCCTGTCCCAGCTGGCAGGGCCTCAAGCTCACCTCTGGAAGCCCTGGAAGCCTGTCTGAAGGGCATCCCCCCAACTGCATCATCCCTTCCCCTGCCACTGGTCGCTTCTTGGTCCCAGAGCCCCCAACCAGGAGACCCTGGGTCTCAGAGGCCCGAGCCACATTCCCACGGATCGCAAAGTGAAGGTAGACTGTGGGCCTGAGGTGGTGTTGGTACCTGGGTACAGCAATGGGGGGTGAGGGGATGCGGAGGACACTGTTATCTTTCCCCCAGTCCCTCCTTCACACACCCTCTGCTAACTGTTCATCAAATTTAATGAAAACTGTTTCTAATCTCCCTGGTGTTTCCCTCTCATGGAACTCCTTATGGCCACGGGACACGGACCGAGGGGCTGTGAGGGTTGTTGTACTGTGGGCTTGTCATCCATGCCCTGGGAAGCCCTGGTGCTGACAGGGTCCAGGGGTCTCTACCTCATGGGCCTTCTGTGACTCCAGCTGTGCTGTCCCTTGCAGAGGTGACCAAGGAGCCTGTCCTGCCTCTGGCCCCACGGGGCTGTGTGAGAGAAGGCCCTGCCCGGCCCTCAGGCCCCCGAGGCACCCCTACCGGCTTCTCCTCTGCCAGCAGCACTGATGGGGACCTAGATTTCATGAGCCCTGCCAGGAGCCAGGGGCAGTGGCCCAGAAAGGGTAAGTGAACCACAGGGAAAGGGCACAAGTCCTCTCTGCCCCCTGGGTCTTGGGCCTGATTCGGTGGCATGCCCATGCCGGAAGCAGCACTGGGAGATTGCAAGGCAGGAGCCAATGACGGGCCTTGTCTTGGATGATGCTAAGGGCTCCATTTTAGTGACTGAGCTCTGAAGGAGCAGGGCAGTGTCTTAAGACCGCTTTAAAACCCTCCTGTTGCATAAAAACAGCAAAGTGAAGTCGGCCTTCGTCACCACCCTCCAGTTCCCTTTGTGTGGCTTGAGCTGGAGCTCATTTGCCCTGTGGAGCCATGCACAGGGCCCAGCTCCTCTGTCCTCACGCAGCCAGCAGCTCTGTAGACCACCAAGTCTACCTTGCTGTGTGTCTTCAACACTGCCCCCTGCCGTCTTTCTGCGTCTGGTCTGTGTGCTCCTCAGCCCCCAGCAGCACTTTGCCACGTCACGCAGGCTCGCATCTTTTCTGTGTGTTTTCTGTTGAAGGATTTGTGTTGCAGGCCACCCAGACAGCAGGAGCCCTCAAGCGCCTTACAGAAGTGCAACCTGTTTTATTCACCCTCTGCATTTGCAGCGGAGCTGGGGCCCCTGGGCTGCTCTCCCTCCACCTTCTGCCAGGGCTGGAAATCAGCCACCCTGCTGGCATAAACCCGGCCAGAACATCAGCTCTCCCAGGGCACTCTCTGGAATCCCAGTTCTAGTTCCTGTAGCTTGCACGGCTATCGCCAGCAATAAGATTCTTGCATTATAGCTGTGACACAGAGCTGACCTACAATGGCCCAGCATCAGGCTGAGGTGAGGGTACCTACAGTGTTGCCCTGGAGTGGTGAAAGAGCCTCCCACCCACTCCGTTGTTAGCTGCCTACGGGGTCAGCACACGGCTTTGTCCCTTACATGGTGGCAACTCGCTTTGCCGAGGGAGCCAAATACCAGGCCTGTGGCCAGGCTCCCTCCACACAACCCCTGGGCCCAGCTTCTGCATAGGTGTTCAATGGCCACCAGAGCAGGGCCACCCTGGAGCCCAAGCTGGCACATGTTCAGGCCCTGCCTCTAGTGGGCCCTTCCACCCTGGTCGTTGTGTAAGAGGTGAGGTTCCTGAAATTTGCAGAACCCAAACTACGGTCATGCAAAAATGTGGATGTTCCATCTCCACAGGAAGCCCACCAGGAAGCTCCCCACTCCAGAGTCTAGAGAACTGTCTCAGAGAGATCCCTGTGCCCAGGTCACAGCCTGCCTGGCCCTGCTCCTCGGCAGCAGACAGGGGACCAAGGAGAATGGACCTCAAGAATTGGGCGGCAGACAAGGAAGGTAACACAGCAGCCACTGTGGGTACCACAGAGTAGGACAGAGCAGCCCAAAGGGCAGGTCTGCCTGAGCCCAGAGGACAGTCTCGAAATAGGCAGAGGCATATCTGAGGCCAGAAAGCCAGGCAGACTGCTCAGCACAGCGCAGGCTGCCTAATGGGGAGTGACGGGTGGGGTCTGGCTCAGCATTTACACTTGGTGGTGCAAGGTGCAGGCCTGAGCCGAGTGTCAGCTGAGCTTCTTGGACCTGTCACTGAGCTATGGAATTCCTTGTGTCCCTGTAGCTAAGTGTGGGAGTAAAGAGAGCCTGGAGGATGCAGGCAGGATCCTGGGAAAAATCCCAGAGCAGGTGATTCCCATGGACAAAACTGTTGCCTAAGATCCCCGATCTGGCCAGGACTGTGTTGTGTGCCTTCTCTGTGGCAGCATGAGGCCCAGGGGTTGACAGGCCTGTTGACTTCTTGTTGCAACAGCACTGAGGAGCGAGTCCTGTGAGCCAGCTCATCCTGGACAAGGTGGGGGAGAAGTGCCTGCCAGGAGCCTCCATCTGGCCAACCCACAAGCCTTGTCCAGCTGTGCCCCCGCCTGCCATCCACGAGGGACCCGAGACCATGGGACCACCCGGCCGGGACCAGAGCACTGGCTCCAAGATGGTGAGCTACCTCCATTCTCAACGGTTCCTGGCTCTGTTTTCCTTGCAGTTAAAGGTTTTAACAGGGAAATAGATTCCCTTTCTCTGTTCTTTCCTGCCTCACATCCCTACCCGGAAGAGGGAAGCAGAGGTGTGGCAAGGAGGGGGTGGGACACAGTGGGCAGGGGTCTCCCTCTGACTCCTTCAGCAGAGCTCCTGGGTCAGCTGCTCTGGGCTGGGAGGACGACCCAGCTGATGACTGTGGTTTTCTTCTCTGTCCCCCAGACCCAGCCCAGTCCTCCCTAAACTGTGGGGGGCAACCCCAGCCTACCAAGTGGGAGGGACTCCTGGCATGTAAGACCCAGGGCCTGGACCACTAGGGGGGCTCCCAAAGACTTCAGACTTCTAGAAAGTTCCTCATTTGGTTTTCCAGGGTGGCCGTAGACATGGCCACACCCTGCCAAGCTCCAGCTTCACCTGTTTCCAGCTCCCGAGGTAACGGTTTAGGGCGCACCAGTGGCCACTTGAGCTGTGGGCTGAGCTAAAGGGAACCTGCTCTGTGTGCCCAGTCATTAAGGCAGAGTCCTCCTGGCTGTCATCAGGGCTGGACAGTGAGCTCTCTTGTTGTCATTCACACAGGGTCAGCTGCCAGACCCTCCCCGCTGCATTGCTTGGAGAGCTCCTTAAGGGACATCTTGCCGGTGAGACCCTTGCGCTTTGCCTGCTTGGCCGGTCCCAGCCCTGGCCCCAGCCCCAGCCCTAGCTCCAGCTCAAGCCTGAGTAGCTCTGACGGAGAAGACCTAAAGTTGGAGCCTGAGCTCTGGCAGCAGTCCCTGCAGGGTGAGCCGAGGTGGGGGCAAGGAATGCAGGGGCAGGGTGCTGAGCCCATGTGTCCACCTCCACCAGCCACAGCCCTGATGCCAGCTTTGTTTATAATTGCCAGTAAGGAACCACCTTCCCAGCTGCAGGCATCCTGTCCGTTTGTCCCCAAGTCCTCAAGTGGCCCCTCTTGGCAGCAGAGGCAGCAAGTCTGGTGAAGCCCCTGGGAAAGCGGAGCCCCAAAGCTGCGGTGTCCTCAGCTCAGGTGAGCCTTCCCTCTCCTAGGAGGGGCTGCCACATGACTGCAACCACATGATCGCAATGGGCCAGGACTCCAGGCTGATCATCTGAGTCCCACTTCTCGCTTGCCTGGCTCTTCCCGGACAGTTATCTGCGTCTTTTGGGCTTTGGCTGCCTGTAGCATCAGTTGTGCCTAAGAGAAAAGGCAGAGCCATGGAACAGAGGGGGACGCTCTTGATACATAAGCTGTATATATCCCTAGTGTATGTGCATACACATATGTGAGCATAGATGTAAAATAATGTGTATCTTGAAGACTTGGTAGTCAGTAACAGCCAAACAACATCAGAAGTGAGATTTCCCTGCCTGGGAGAATTTCTTGATGGCTGTTCCATCAGGAAATGCTGCCTACTGGCACAGGCCACCAAGCTTCTCCATTCAAGCTAACCCAGTATTTGTTCCTAGGAGAAGCAGAGAAGGCGGCAGAAGGCAGGTCCCAGTCACCAGAGAGGGAAGAGAGTGGCTGCCAACCTGGTGTCCCCCACAGCACCGGAGAAGGCGGTAAGGACTGGGCTGCAGAGACGTCAGGGGCAGCAGCAGCCTTCCACCCCAGCACACTCCTGTTCTGGGTTCCAGTCCCGGGCCATAGCCGCTACCTCGGGCAGACCCTGGCTGGCCGTGGACCATGAGCTCCATCAGCTTTCCCTGTGGCTTAGTGCTGGGCTGCAGGGTGCTTCATGCCGCACACAGGACAAGGCACAGCAGACACACGGCGCTCAGGGCCCCTCCACTAGAGGCAGGCTCCCTGGCCAGCCATGTGTCCATCTTGCATCTCATCCAAAGACCCCCGTGTCAGAAGGAAGAGTGCATGGCCCTAAGCTGAGCACTCTCTGTTCTTCCTCCAGAAGCAGTCAGGGCTCCCTGTCCTGCCCCACGGCTGGAGAAAAGACCCAGGCCTGAGGATGGGGACGAAGCCAGGGCTCTGGAGCCTACACACGGAAGGCCCAGCACTCCAGGTGAGCGGGCGGTTTCCCCATGCCCTCTGCACGTACCAGGACCCAGGGCCCAGCTTAGGGAAACACTTCTGGGTGATTCTATGGGCCTTGGGTTACAAAGGTGAGAGAAAACTTTTGTGCGTCTCAGGTTGCATCTTTAATTTCAGAGGAAATATCTGGAACTTCTAAACCAGCAAACATACCTCTTAAAAGCAGAAATTCAGGAGTGTCCCAGAGCCCAAGTTTGGGGCTTAAAGGGACTTTAACACCCAAATGAGAAAATGGACCCAGTGCTGTCGGATGCCCTGGCCATGGTCGTCCAGAGACATAGCTTCACAGCACCTGACTGATCAACCTTGGTGGAGAAAGACGCATGAGCATGGCACCCTGTGCTCTGGTCACTGTGGCTGGCTGGGAGCTGGGGCCCCTTTCAGGGCGCAGGGTTTCGGGAGCCCTGAGCTGACCTGTGTGACCGCTTTGCCTGAGGCTGAGCTGGGCAGGAACGCCAGGTGCTAAGGCCCAGGCTCTCCGGAGAGGACTGCATGGGCTCAAGGCCAGCCCCTGGGGAATTGGGTCTGAGGAGTTCTGTGATTTTCTTTTTTCTTTCTTTTTTTTTTTTTTTTTTTAAGTATTCCAAGTCTTAAAACGCTCTCAATCTGTAACTTCTAAGCAGAGTTGAAGCCAGATGGGTAGGACCCCTTGTGGTTTGCTTGGGACTGTGAGCCCTGGGAACTGGGTGACTCTGGGTGTGCCTGGTGGCCCCTGGCTGAATAGCCTTCCCAACCCATCTCCTAAGGGCTGCTGTGGGCCCTTCTTACCAACCCATGGGGCAGGGGTGTGTGTTGTAGTACTGATTTTAGTACCAGGAACCAGCTGCTGTTTCCTAGAAAGTTTGGTTACTGTGGAAGCCTGTTGCTCCTATGCCCCAATTTGGGGAAGAGGCAGGAGACATGGCTGCCTTGGTTGTAACAAGCTTCTGCACACAGTGTGCTCACGCTCCAGTGATCTTCCTTCCCTTCTAGAAAGCCAGGCCTTGGAGGTGATGGTCTGACCTGCTCTTTGCTCTGGTTTCAGCTGAGGCCCAAGGGAAGCTGCACCCCAGCGACTTTCCCCAGATGGGCGATGAGTCTTTGCAGCCACAGCCGCCAGCGTCGCCCCCTCCAGCAGCTGACCCTGCCGTGTCATCCACTGCCTGCAGTTGTGGGAAGCCCCTGCAGCAGGAGCTGCACAGCCTCGGGGCCGCCCTCGAGGAGAAGCTGGATCGGCTGGCCACAGTCCTGGCAGGCCTTGCTCAAGAAGTGGCCACCATGAGGACCCAAGTGGATCGCCTGGGGAGGCGCCCACGAGGCCCTGAGTCAAAGTCATGGGCCCTCTCCCGGGGACCTCGCTGGGCCAACGGCCTTGGTCGCAGACATATGCCCTACTGGAGGCAGAAGGGTCCCCCCAGACCTAAACCAAAGATCCTCCGGGCACAGGCTGAGGGCTGTAGGGCTGGTGATTCCCCAGGACTCCCCAGAGGGAGGGCCCGCTCAGCACCTCAGCTACCAACTGATGCTGCTCCCGCAGAGCCTCCTGGGCCTCCTTCCTCAGCACTCAGCTGCTGTGCTGTGCTCGGACATATGGGGAGCCACCAGGTGCCCCCTCCTCCTTTAGTGCCTGTTGCCTTACCCCCGCCAACGACCTCTCCCACCCCCAGTGCAGACGCAGAATCAGCCAGGATCCCAGGCCGGCCTAAGGAGCCCAGTGACTTGCTAGGGGGCATGCAGCGGACCCTACAGGAGGAGCTGTGGGGTTCTGAGCACAGGGACCCACGGTGGGGGGCCCACTGACCACACTCTCCACAGGTGGCCTTGTGCCCAGGGGACATGATTCCCTCCCCGCCCGTTCCTGTGGCCCTTCCCATCACTGGAGTCTTCGCCTGGTTCCCGGATTCTGCCAGGTCCTGGGGGTGTCTGCTCCAGAGGCCCAGAAAGGCGGTACATTCCTCAGCCACTGAGTGGCTACCTTTCTCAGGTTCAACCAGACATTGCTTCCTGCAGCTGGCCAGCTCCTGGGTGGCTCGTGTGGACTGGTGCACAGCGTGTCCCCTGTAGCTGTGGGGCAGTCAGGAGGGCCTCTGCAGTTGTGATCCTAGAAGCAAATGTTGGCACAGAGCTTATCTGGGAAGCACTCTGTCCTTTGATCCCAGCTGGATTTACCCCCTGTGAATTCTAAAATTAAAGACTGAGTTTTGCTTTGGCTCCTAGTAAAAGATACTCCATGTCCCCACAGTGGGGTCTGGCTGCTGGGGTTTCTCCAGCGGCACAGCAGGGAAGAGAGCTGGCAGTTTCTCCCCTGCAGTACCTCTGAGGGAATTTAGCAGTGTGCTTAGGAAGGCTCAGGGCCAGCAGGCTGGGACTAAAGTCCCAAACAACTGGAAAAGTGCACACCTACTGAGGTTGGGGGTCGTCAGACAATGGGTGTGGCTCGGGAGGTCAGAAGCCCAAAGTTAGGATGTTGTCAGGGTTGATTGTTGTTCTGGGCTGGAAGGGACCATGTCCTGGTTCTCCCCTCTCAGGACAGATGGCAATCTTTGTGTTCACAGGCATCTGCTCCATTGTCTCCACACGGCCCCTTTGTATTGGGACACCAGCTGTACTGGATTGGGGTCCACCCTGATGGGTTCATTGTTGCTTCATTACCTCTGTGTGAAGACTCAAGTCAGGTCACATTCTGAAGTGCTGAACCTGTGACACCAGCATGTCTTTTGGAAGGACACCTAAGCAGGACAGTCTTGGGATCAATTTGAAGAAGAAGCCATGGCCATTTATCCTAGCATCTGCTGGGGTCTGGCTGATGGGGCTGTGTGTGTCCTAGCTATGGGCAGTTGTTGGAGCCAGCCTGCCTGCTATCTGCTCCTCTCCTTCCTCAGGCCCAGCATCCAAACTGAGCTCCATAGTCAATCTGTGGGGTCTTTAGGAACTGGGCTGTCTGTCACATGGGACTTGGGCAGGCCTGGTGGACTGTGGATGGGCTGACACATTAAGCTCTGCCATCAGGGCCTTAGGGAATCCACTGCTTACCCTGGGACATCTAAAAAAAAAAAAAAAATCCTTTGGAGAACCACAGAAGGGCCTGAATGTCCTCGCTGTGCGTGAAGGCTGGACAGAATGAGGCAGTCCTTGCTGGGAGGGAGAGGAGAGAGTGGCTGGGCTGGAGAGGAGAGAGTGGCTGGGCTGGATGGATGGGAACTGGAAGCAATGGTGTTTCAGGCCTAGATCAAGTGCCAAGTTGACTGTGTTGGGAAGTGATACTTCCGAGATGTGGTAGGATGATGTTTGGAATGAACAGTCTCAGCCACACCTGCTAACAGAAGTCCCGGGCTCTCCACTCATGGAAAACTCAGCAAGGTGAACCCAGCTCCCTGCCAGAATGTTCAGGGAATGCTATGGGGGCACATTTCAGAGCCAGCAGGTAGAAGCAGAACTCAGTCACGGAGCAGGGTTCAGCAGCAACTCCCAGGGCCCCACCCTACCCAGGCCTTGCTGTGACTCCCCTCTCTGCTTTCCCCTAAAGCAGGAGATGTTGTGGTTATTGGGAAGTGTGCTACCATAGGCCTGTGAAGGTGGTTTTTGCCCTGTAGCCATGATGGCAGCCATGCAGCAGGCAGGAATGAGCAGAGAGTTTGCATAGTTCTTTCTCCTGGTTGTACAGCTTTTCACTACTGGGCTGGGAAGAGAATCTTCTCGCCACTGCTGCCCAGCACCTGGCAGTGCTCTTCTGTGGGCAGAACTTCCCTACCACCTATACCTGCTGTCACAGGTGAGGATGCTCAGGAGTGAGCCCAGTCTGTTATCCAGATCCGATTAGACTGTATAGAATGGTCAGTGAAAGAAAATAGAAGAAAGAGAAGTTGTGTGAAGCGCAGCTGCATTCACTGCTCAGGAAGCGGGTCCCTGGGGCTCAGTCCTCTCCCCTGACACTATTGTTACCTGAAAAGCTGACTAGAATCCGAGGTGTGAAGACCATATGAAATCTAGATCGTGTGCATTCTGTCCATCTATTGCTGCATAGGAATAACTGAAGGAACTCATTGAACCTGAGGGAGACACAGAAGGGCCTGGGGCTTCCCACTGCCCTGCTAGGGAATGACCAGCAGGATGGCCCCTATCTGGCTACTTGACCCACCTGTAGACTGTTCGCTCTTCCCCAAGTTCACATTAGGGTTCCTGCAAGAACTTGCCTACCCTCTGCCCACTCTGTTCCCTCAAGCACCAGTGAAGAGGCTGGCACTGTGGCCAAGCCACTGCAGTGCAATTATCCATTGTTGCAGTGCCAGTTTGAGTCCTGGTGGTCTGCTGCTGCTACAGCTTCTTACTAATGTACCTGGCAAGGCAGGAGAACACGGCCCAAGTACTTGGGAGATCAGGATGGAGTTCCTGGCTCCTGGCTGTGGGCTGGCCTGGCATGGCTGCTGTGGACATTGAGGAAGTGAACCAGTGGATGGAGAGCTCCATAGTTAGTGCAAGCCCCTGCTGCTTGGCACTGTTGCCCCCGGTGTCCCCAGGCCACCCCGGAGGAGGGCCTGCAGTGGGACTGAGCTCTCTCCTACAAAGGCCAGACTTCCTTCTGTCAGACTTGGCTCCTGGGAACAACTGCAGGGTTTGGGTTTATAAGCTGGCAGGACAAATGATGTGTCCTCGGAGCCTGTGAACCCTTGTGGTGTGGGATCACACAGCTGGGTTTGGGTTGAGCAGCTCTCCCATCCTGTGCTCCAGGTCTGCCCCTTCTGGTCTCAGGATTATGCTTTTTGTTTGTTTCTTGAACCTTTTTTTCCTTTGTACTTACAATATTGTGAGCTTTAAGAAAAAAAAAAATCCATTGTTCCCTCTACTAGCCACAATATTTAAAGAACTTAAAGGAGAAATGTCCAAATTCAAAATTGTACTGGGGAGAGTGTGTTCGATGGAACAAAATCATGGGAGATAAAGAAATGGGAGCAAATTAATTTATGATCATACACAGTGCTGCACTGCAAATACGTTCTTTTCAAACATAAAGTGCTTAAGATTGCCACATACTAAGCCCAGAGCAAATTCAAACAAATTTAAAAGTATTGAAATTAAGTGAAGTATGTTCCTTTACAATACTTTATGCTGGAATGAAGTAGCCAGACATAACCAGACCCGGGTCTCTTGGCCCGCCTGCAAGGTAGGTGCTAGGTTTGTGAGCTATGTGGGGACAGGGGTCAGGCAGGCATAAGTTCGCCTGGCCTAGGTCCTTGTACTCACCTGCAAGAATATGCCCTCCTCGGTGAAAAAGGCAAAGCTGTGGGTGCAGACCCTGACGCACATGGAGGACATGACAGCCCATCTGGTACCATAGCAGACAAACAGAATAAATTGGACAACTACCCTAGTTGTCTGGCTTTCAACTAAAATTATTTTTAAATGTCTATGCAAATAGGGAAGGCTTGCTTAAGGTTTCACAGAGGTACAAATAGGAAAAAACAAATGAGAGAAATGGCATACAAAAAATGTAATCAAATTCAAAATTAACACCAATATGATTTTTGATTATCCTTTGGTGAAATTGATCCATGAAAAAAGCACAAATAGGCTTGGGAATGACAAGGTAATCCAACTCCCGGAAGGCAAAGTGATGTAACCAACTTTTGCCAAAAATGTGAAAGCTCAATTAAAATACAAAACTCCCACAGGAGCACACCTTGGAATAGACCCAAGAAGAAAGAGCCTGGGTTGCCCATAGCACTGAAAGAATTGTATCAGGGTTCAGACATCTTTCCACAGCAGCAGCAGTGCGCTCGGAAGTCCCTAGAGGTGGGCTCCGCGTCATGTGCTAAGAAGGAAGACGTTCAGCAATAGACTGACACCTGAGACTAACCTAACCTCACAACCAACACCCTCCACCCCAAGTCATCTTCCTTTTAAATTAAAAAAGCAAGCATTTCTTCAAAAAAAAAAAAAAAAAGACACTTGAAGTCGCAGCTGGTGGGGAGTCCAGACCTGCCTTGAGCCAATATTTTCTGGTTTTCAAGCAGAGAGGACCTAAACATGCAGCGCCTGAGTCACACAGAAAACCAGAGCTCCCAAGCAGATTAGGTGAGGCATGAGGCAATTTGGGAAAAGAAGGAAATGGATGGTTTTGAAGATGACTGCCGGCAACACCTGTTTGTGTGGGATGGTTGTGCCTGCTGCACTGTCTGTCCTCTCACCATCCACTCTATTCCCAGTGGCCGATCTATGCTCTATCTCTTGCAGTTTACGGGTCAGCTGCCGAGTGAGGAATGTCTGTGCAATGTGGCTATGTGGATTTAACGCACTAGGGAGTGGGGAGGGGGGTGCCAGAATATATTCACTGAAATTACCCAGGTGTTTATATTAAACTCAGACTTCTCTGAAAAAAAGAGAACCCAGAATCTAGCAGTTCACTTCCCAGGTGCCAAGATGGGCTGGGTCTGTGCTAGGTAGGAGCTGGGTCTGGGGACTCCATCCGGGTCCCCCATGGGGATAACAATGACCACACTACCTCCCAGGGAGTGAGTTAACAGGCAGTGGGTGTCAGGGCTGGGGACAGGACTTGAGCTCTGAAACATGACAGGTGCATCTTAACCCGAGTCTCAGCACCAAGCTGAATCCCATCTTTGGATGCTCCTTCCTAACTGAGAGTGCTCATCCCACCTCTGGACGCTGGTACCTATATGAGACTGCGCTCATCCCGCTGGCCCCTGGGGCTCAGCGCTGGACTTCCGTCTCCTCAAGTGAGCGCAATGGCTGATCCGAAGCTAGGAGCCAGGAACTTCTTCCGGGTCTCCCACACGGGTGCAGGGTCCCAAAGCTTTGGGCCGTCCTTGACTGCTTTCCCAGGTCACAAGCAGGGAGCTGGATGGGAAGTGGAGCTGCCGGGATTAGAACCGGCGCCCATATGGGATCCCGGGGTGTTCAAGGCGAGGACTTTAGCTGCTAGGCCACTGTGCCAGGCCCTGTCCTTCATCTCTTAAAAGCTTGTGCAAAGTCCAACAAATAGGTATTTTATAGTTGACAAAAAAAAGACGATTTTATTTCAAGAAAACATGTTCCCCAAGAAGACAATAGAAACTGCTCAGATACGGCTATGGGCAGCTGGACATCTGGACGGGCTGGGTGCACTGCTTGGTCATGGCTGCTCGGGAGCTGTAGTAAAAATAAATAAATCACTTTTTTAAAGTTTCCTAATTGCCCTAACAGTAATTCTAGAATTTT